CAGATCCTAAGCTACTCTTCTGTTTTCTCCTAGAAATTTTATAGTTTTAGCTTTTACGTTTATAGTCTACCTCAGATTAATTCTGTTTGCCGTAAGGTAAAGGTCTTTCTTATCCATATAAATATCTAGTTACTCCAATTTGCTCTTCAATCCTTCTAGTGAAGTCTTTATTTCAGGTATTGGATTTTTTGGTTCTAGAATTTGCATGTTTCTATTTTATAGCTTCTATTTCTCCACTGAGATTTCTTGTTATAAGAAATATAAGCATATTTCTATTTCAATTATAAGCACATTTTTCCTTTACATATCTGAGTATAGTTTTAATAACCACTTAAAAAGTCTTGTCAGTTAATAACAACATTGAGTCATCTTGGGGTTGATCTCATTTGATTGCCTTTTCTCACAAATATAACTCATATTTTACTGTTTCTTGTGTCTATAATTTTGGACTATATCCTGGACATTGTAAATGATATACTGTAGAATCTGGATTGTTACATTCTTGCGAGTTTGACACAGCTGAACTCAAACTCCCAAGAGATCCCCATGGTAGGCATCAGCTGAAATCTGTACAACTCTTTTAGCTTTAGCTGAGCTGCTTGCAAGCGTGCTCCATGCTTGTCTAGTTCAGAAGTTTGACTGATTTTTAAAAATAACAGCTTAATTGAGATGTAATTCATATACCACATAATTCACTCTTTAAAAGTGTTCAGGTCAGTGTTTTTTTTTTTTAGTAAATTCACAAGTCTGTGCAACCATTACCACTATCTTAGAATATTTTCGTCACCCCAATAAGAAACTTGTACCCATCAGCAGTCACTCCCCATTCTCTCTTCCTCTCAGCCACTGATAACCATTATTCTACTTTCCATCTCTATGGATTTGCCTATTTTAGACTAGACAGTTCACATCAACAGAATTACATAATATGTGGCCTTTTGCGTCTGGCTTCTTTCACTCAGCCTAATGTTTTCAAGGTTCATCCATCTGAAACATGTATCAGCACTTTATTCCTCTTATGGCTGAATAATATTCCATTGCATGGATATATCTCATTTGTTTATCCAATCATCAGTTGATGGACAAGTAGATAAAATTACTTTTATATAGAGAATCTGAACACCTTCTTTGTGGCAGTCTTCTTTCCAAGATGGGCCTTTGTCATAATGTCCACAGGCATTAAAAGCAAATAGGAAACTCACAAATAGGAAGCTGACATTGTTCTGGGTATCAGCTCCAGCTCCTGTCCAGTTACTGCCTGCTTCTGGTTGCTCTTCAGTACCTTCAGATAATGCTTTTAAAAAATATTTTATGCAGCATTTATATTCATTATTTGTGAGAGGGCTGGCCTGATATGAACTACTCCACCACTGCTGAAGCAACCTCTGAGTGTCTCGCCTGGCACTTTTCCTCCCTTTTGGTAACAGCGCTACAATTTCCTTTTGGGAAACTGTTCCTCACCTTGGTTCTAAGGATGGGTACACGGCCTGGACTACTGAAAGTATTACATTCTTCCTGACCATCATTTCTGGTTCAGGAAGAAATATGAGACTCAAGTCTGGCCAAAACCAGTTTTAGATCTTTTGCTGGAGCTATCTGCAAAGAGATATCTTTTTCAGTTTTTGGTTAAGAGAGTAGCTTGGAAGCCTGTAACTCACAGAGGCTTCTGCCTGCCTGAAAGAGAAACCAACATGGAGGAGAGCAGAACTGAAAGATGTAGAAAATACCAGTGACATAATTTAGTCTTCTGGATACAGCCATGCCTGAAGCTGGTATATACCTAGAACTCTTCAGTTAGAGTTAATACCTTTTTCTACTTAGGCTAGTGTTTGGGTTAGTTTTTTTCTTTTCTGCAACTAAGAAGTTTGACTACGAAGAAGTATTTCTCAGGGACAAAAGTTGCAGGGTGAAAGCATATATATTAATTGCTAAAGTCCCCGCCTAAAACAGCACTCTGGCCTCTATACTAGAAGCCAAGGCCCCATACAAATTCAAGCATCCTATACTTAAACCACTCTAAAATTAATCCCATAGGGCTTAAGATAATCCAAGTTTTGTTCTGACTCAAAGAGACACAAGGCATCTAAAACCTTACACTCAGATTTCATACCCTCGATCCATCAAGAATGTACATTCATTAACTGATTTTTTATACGTTAAAAAGAAAATAACAATTTTTTTCCCCTAGTACCTACCCTGCTTCTGTACTGGAGCTTACACAGGGGATTGTCATTTAAACCTTATAGCAATCCTATAAGCACAGCCTCTTTATAGCTGGTGAAACTGAAGTTCAGAGAGGTTAAGTTATGCAAACTACGTAACTCAGGAAATCCAGGTAGTTGAGCTAGAACTGCAAGACTGAAAACTCTAAAATCCACGTTCTTCCTTTCAATTCCACGTTCTGTCACGACTTCACAAATTCAATAGCAAAAGAGATCGTGGAAGTTGAGGCATTTGTCTATTGTAAACTGCCAATCAACTTTTGGGTTATTATGAGTACACTGAAAGCATCACCAATGAGATGATAATTTATTGTGGCATCTGAAAAACAAACAGGTAGAAAAATAAAGGTAGTAGCTATTTCTTACTGAGTACCTACAATATGCTAGGCACTTTTACATAGATTATCCTATTTAACCCTCTTAACAATCCTGCAAAGTAAGTCCTATTCATTTAGTACTGTGGAAACTGGAATCTTGGAGAAATAAATGACTCCATCAAGGTCATGCAAGATATAAGTAGCAGAGGTGGGATTCAAATCCAGATTTGCCTGACTCTACAACCTAAGCCTTAAGGGCTCACACAGCCCTTTAGCATCATCAACATCCCACTGCCACTGGTTCATGTTCACCAAGCTACCTTCCATTCCACGGATGTAGTGACCACAAATCCTTGAGTGACATAAATTAATATTTTTTCCAATGTAGATGATGCATCAAAAACTTAAATGAGATTCATTTTTTAAACCTTTGTAAGAATCTTTGTATACAAACTTAGAAATCAGAAAAAAAGGCCTGTGACTTACCTACCACACGTCTCCACCTCCAGTGCCTGAAAGTTGGTCACTAAACCTAGAGACTGTAATGGACCCACCTACTGAGAACAGGGTGCCTCATGGTTGGGCCAGGTATTTATAAAACAGACACTCTGGTTTACAAAACACTTTCAAGGCATTGTTTCAGATCCTGGACAGCATCTCTCAAACAGCCCTCACCTACTGACTCTACCCTACGATAACCACATTGAACAATTCCAGGGCCCCCATCCCAAACAAGCAGACTTCCATGCTTCTGTTGTACCTGCCCAAACTGTTACACTTGCCTGATGCCCTTTAATCCTTCCCCTTCTTCCCCTCAGGATCTCTCAAATTTATTCACCTTTCAGGGTCCAAATCCAACGGCAGCAACGTTAACACTTTACAGCAGTACTTGCCAATCTTTCTACACCGCGGCACACAGAGAACATGGCCATATTTGTATGGCATACTGGGGTAAAAGAACAAAGCTGCTTACAGTCAGAAATGACTGGAGAGAGATCTGGCTGCCCCAATGCCAAGGGCAATCAAAACTTCCAAAGCATCTTACACAAACTTTCATTCTTGCACTTGCCACATATACAGCGACTAATTGTTTCACTTGTCTCTTCTGCCTAATGGTGAGCTCTTAGAAGAGTGGGATGCAGTTTTATTCATTTTACATTCTTAGCAACTAGCACAGGGCCTGGCAACTACTAAGTCCTCAAAACAGAATGCTGAACTGAATCCTGTAAAATAGTCTTTCAAGTTAAAAACAAAGCAACAATTCTGAAGCTGTGCTATTCAATATCTTTTCCTCCCCTACCCCAGGAAAAAAAAAACCAACTAGATGCTATCAACATACTCTAAGAGGGATTGTCTACTTCCCACTTACGGAGAAGAGGTACTTCCCTTTTATAAATTCATTTATTTAATAATATTTATCAAGCACCTACTCTGACAGGCATGAGGGATATTTGGCAGTGAGAGAGACAAACAGTTCCTACCTTGTTCTTAGGAAACTTAACTCTAGAAAGGAATACAGACATTGAACAAATAGTTCCATATACTTATCCGTTGATGAAATAAACACTCTAAAAAGGACATATAGGACACAATATAGATAAATGGATAAATCTCAATAATGACAGATAATGTCAAAGAACTGAAAACACAAATCATCAGGCAGAAAGGTGCAAGTGCCAAAGGGAATATCTACAATGAAACACCCAGTAGTGAAACTTTGAAGCCTCAAGGATAACTATGTGCTGATAGATTGATGCAGGCAGAGAGGGGAGAAGCAAGAGACACCAAGAATAATCCAAGGTGTTTGGCCTGAGCAACTGGAAGAATGAGAAGGTTGGAGAAGGTGAAAGGTAAAACTCAAAATTTCAGTTATTTAAGAGATGTCACGTGAGAGCTACATATAAGAACCTGGAGTTCAAGGCAGAGAACTGGGTTGAGGATAAAAACTTGAGTTAGCACAACAGATGGTATTTATATTTAAAGCCTTGAAATGAGTAATTTCTAGGAACTGAATGAAGAAAAAAGATGAAGATAAGGCCTTGGGGCAGTACAACCACTGAAGAAAGCGGGGCAAGAATGAGCAGAAAGGCCAGAGAGAGCTGAGGCGAGGGACGAGAACGCTGCCCAAGCCAAATGAAGGTGTTTCAAGAAGGGGCGGTGATCAGCTGTATAAAATACTGATACGGGGCTGAGAACTAAGTTAACCCTGATCCTTGGTGGCTCTGACAAAGAGGCATTTCAGTGTAGTGGGGGCAACGCCTGACTGAAGTGGGTTCAAGAAAGCCTGAAGGAGAAAAGGTGCTAGTGAATAAACACTGAAGCTCTCCTTGGCTGCAGAGACGAGAGGAGGTAAATGGAGGTACACGGAGTGAGAATGAAGTTTTGTTAAGAGGCACATCTTGAGCATATAATAAAAACCGCCGGAGTTCGGGGCCCTATCTCAGCCATCGTCTGCTCGCACCTGGGCTGAGTATCCCATCCGGGCCAGCCTCGGGGTCACGATCCGCGCGCTGCAGCTTTGCACTGTCGCGGGCCGGGCGGGAACACACGCTGACCCCCAAGGCCAGCGCCGGCCGGCCGTCTAAGCTCCGCCCCGCCCCGGGGGGACCGAGGCGCGCGCGCACCGCCCCTCGCGAGCCGCCTCTACGAGGCCCGGAAATGGGCGCACAGAAGGAGGACCTTGGCCCTCCGCTCCCGCCATGCCGCCGGGGTTCCAGTTCGCGACCCATCCCCGCCTACCGAGCCACGGGCGGAACTAGCACGTCGCGCTGGAAATTGCGACGGCGGGAGCAAGCGTGTCCCTCGAATGCTTTTCAAAGTCTGCAGATAGTAACACGCTCGCGCCCAAGATTTGCGGCACGTCGAGAACAACGATTTTTCCCTTCTATGAGCCGAGTCGCCGCGCGGAGGACCCCCTGCGCGTGCGCCGTCCTTCCTCTGTGACGTGCGCGCTGCTCCGTGGGAAGTGTAGTTTTTGCTTTGTACCTTCCCGGCTCTTCAGTTGAACCTTATTTTAACAGACCGAGGCACTTGTGTGTTTCAGTATCCTCTCCCATTCCCCAAAGCCTCTGTAAAATAATAGTTTTTTTTTTTTAAAGGGCTGTTTGTTAGTTGAGGGGGGCAGTGGACACAAGAGAACTCCGTTGTCTGCCTCAATTTTGCTGTGAACCTAAACCTGCTTTTAAAAAGTCTATTTAAAAAATGTTTAAATTAAAAAATAAGCAAATCTATAAACCTAGAAAGCGCACTTTTAGATATCCTTCCCAGGAAAGTATTAAGGATGCGAGCAAACATTTAGCTATAATGGTTTACATGCTAGTATCATAATTTCTTACATAATTCCTATCAAAATTAATGATTATATATTTACCTGATTATTCAATACAATGGCCAACTCGGTGAGCGTAGGGTCGTCTGTTCTGTTCACCTATGTATTCCCAGTACCTAGCACAGTGTCTGGCTCTCAGTATTTTTGTATTCATTAGTAGAATCTCAGACTTCAACACAAACTGCTTCAGCCCAAAACTTCACGCGTCATTTTTGTCCACCAAGCTTGCTTCTCTTTCGGTTGTGATTATCTCAGTGAATGGCACAACTGTTTTCCCCGTCTAAGCTCTCCACCTTGCATTTTTTGAGGCTTATTCTAGCAGGGAAATCACAAAGTTTGCCTTTGTAAACGTCTTAGGAGTGATTTCTCCTGAATGTCAACTATCGACCTTAATTTTTCCGCAGGAGAGCTGTGGGGCTCACAATTATTTGAATTTATCTGTAGTTTCTGATGTTTCCACAATAAACATGAATTAGTCGATTAATTTTTAAAAAGTGTTTTAGAGTTGTCCATGTGTAAGGAATAGCTGTCTTACCCTTCACATCCAAATTCCTTGATAAGAATTGTCCTTGCTTTTCGTTTTCTCACCTCATTTTCTCAACAATAGTGGGAGCCAGCGCCTGAGAATTTCCTTGACATCACCGCACCCCACCAACTCCCCATTTCCAATCCATCACTAAGTGTCTGCAATGTAAAAATAAAAACAGCTCACATTTGTTGGGCACTTACTATGCATCAGGCACTGTTGAATGTGTTACAGGTATTCATTCATATAGCGCAGTCTGTTCACTTTTCATCTCCACTACACTCAACCTAGTCCAAGGTGCTTCTGTTCTTTCCTAAACAAATGCAAGGGCTTTTTATTTTTTTAAATCCCAGGTGCAGAGATTACGTTACTCATTTCTAACTTTGTGGCACACTATCATCATTGGGGTCTGCATGGCCTCTCTGTTTTATGTATTTGTGGCCTTTAAACTCTTTTCTCCACTCCTGCTGCCTTCCTCAATGATGTGCGAGAGTGTCTTTGGAAAACGTGTTTTTTAATGTATGAGTATTTTTAATTTACCTAACTGGCATTGTGCTATAAACCTCACTCTATTTGTTACTCTTTCCACTCAGCACTGTTACTGAAGCAAAAGGGTCCATCTACCTGCACATGTCGAAGTCCAGTGAGATACACACAGGTTTTTCAGCAAGGAAAGTAAAGGTTTATTTTAGAGAGCTGCAAGTCCATGAGTGTCTCAAGGGGATTGATTATATAGGGAAAAATCATCAGCCAACAAAGGGAGTTGGGATAATTGATCATCATGTCTGGTTCCAGAATCAGCCATGGTGTTGTCTTCCCATCTGGTCCTGTGGTAGGTGGGGCTGTTCCACCTCTATGGGCCTGGGGCTGAAACACATCTAAAGCCCAGATGTTATTCTTAGTTTAACTGAAACTTATTGTTCTCATGATCGTAGACTTGAGACTTTTTTCTTAGAATTATTGACACTGGCAGAATCCTCATGTCCTAAGACTTAATGATTAAGGGAGTAGGCAGATAAAGGTGGAAGAATGAGGGTGGAAAAAGTGAGTCACAAGGCCATTATACTAAGCAAAGCCTACTTAAATCAGAGTGATGCAAGACAGGGCAAATTTCCCCAAGTGAAGGGGAGACTAAGCCCTGTACCGAGAAAAGAGGGTCCTTTGGTGGAGAGTGTAGAAAGAATTCAACACACATGCCAAAGTTAGAGTCAAAAGTCAAGTTTATTAGAAAGAGGCTAACACTTCACAGACAGAGGGTGGTCTCCTCTCAGAGGCAAAGAGTGAGAGGGACAGTGAGAGAGACAGTGAGAAACAGAGTAAGGAAGGGTATGTAGAGTGAAAGGCCTGATGGCAGTTCCTAGCCTTTAATCCATGGGTTCCCCGTGGTTTTAGCCATATGGAATAACTCTTGGTTCCTGTTTCCCCTTCACAGGTGTGGGGAATGGGTTGTTAGTAATCCAGCAGAAATCTTCCTTTGTTCTGAAGGTGTTCTCCTGGCCTGGCTGCAGAGCTGATTGGCATATTGCAGTCTCTCAATGTGACTTGAGTAACATTTTAATTCTCTTGCCTCCTCCCTATATTAAAAGAAAAAGCTATCTAAGGAAATGAAGTCTGCACATGGTTAAGAGCACCATGCTTTTAAGATTGTCCTTGTTGTTTAGAATAACTGCAATATTTCACAGTGGACACCCACATTTTAGTTATTCAAATCTGCAGTGATGCACCTCAAAATTGCCTTCAACTACTGGCTACCACACAGATCACCTCATGCATGCCCCCTTGTGGCTGATGTGGGGATTTTTCTGGGATGTATAGTAAATTGTCTCCCCTCATCCATTCTGGCCAGAGGCATCTTTATTTTTAATTTTATTTTTTATGGTGACATTGGTTAACAAAATCCGACAAGTTTCAGATGAACATTTTCACAGTAAGGCATATGTATATTTACATTGTGTGTTCGCAGAGCCATCTTCTTAAAATGCAAATATGTTCATGTTCTGGCACTCCTGTCTCCTGCCCCACCTCCTCATCTTCTAACCCTTTTAAGCCTCCCCAGTCTTCTTCAGGTCTGTTATACCTGCCCTGTCCCTCCCACAGGGCCTCTATAAAGGCTGCATGGAGCACATTTCCCTTCCCTCTATCCCACCGTATCTTCTTCTCATCTTCAGATCTCCCTGGCAGGGCCAAATTCCTTTGTAATAGTCTCTCAAAACAAATGTCAACCTCCTGTAACTGTAACAACTTTACATTTGTTTGTGACATAATTCACGTCCGTTCTACCCCACATCCCCTATGTTATAAACCCAATGAAGGCTGGGCTCATATCTGTTTATGCTCATCACTGTATCTTTAGCACTTAGCCTAGTGCTTGGCAAATAACATAATAGATGAAAGAGTAAATGAAGATGTACTCTCTGTTCGGGGAGGGCCATTGAGGGGGCAGCATCTTAGTGTGGTGACTACTGCAGAATTTGGTCCACTGCTCTGGAGGACCAGAAACTCCATTTTGTCAGCAACCTCTAGACTGGCACTGATGCAATTCACAAGAGACTGGGGTATAAACAGGAGCCTGCTGAGTCCAACTGGGAGAGTTAAAAATGTGGGAGCTGACCAGAACACTCCCTTTGCCTGGTCAGCACAGTCCCTTTCTGTGAGAGAAGACACAGCACAGCAAAGAAATCTGGGACTTTCTGGTCTATTCTTAAGACTCATTGCTTCAGATCACCACATCTGAAAAGCTTTTCCAAAGAGCCTTGAAAAGTCACACAGATCTTTATTGAAGGGCTCTTGAGGACTCGAGGAGGGAGTTAGTTCCATTGCATAACTTCCTGACAATCCCTTTACAAACCCCTGAGTTCCACTGCTGAGGGCAGTGCTCCCATTGCTCCTTCTTCTTTGCTCTCTCCTCCTTCAGAATTGGCTTTTGGCATGGGGGCTTCAGGCACCTCCTACATAAAGCCAGCTACCCATCTCTCAGCTTGTTCCTGTTCATGCCCACCGCTTGAGCAAAACAGAAAAGGCTCATCCTTAGGATCTGAACACCCGTGGCAGGCAGGTGGAAGAAATTGTAAATCATCCCCAACACACAAAAGAAGCCATGTCAGAAGGTGGCATGGTATGCATGGAACCCAAGAGAGGATGGGGATGAAATAAACTAGCTTTTAAAAATTGCTTTTTGGCTTCCAGTGGCAGCGTCTGGAAAAGAGGTGGCAGACACCATGTCTGTACACGAAAGTGGCGAGAAGCCCCTGAAGCAGCCCAAGAAGCAGGCCGAAGAGATGGATGAGGAAGAAAGGCATTCAAGCAGAAGCAATAAGAGAAGCAGAAAAAACTGGAGGAGCTAAAAGCAAAGGCCACAGGGAAGGGCCCCTGGCCAGAGGTGGAATTAGGAAACCTGTTGAGAGTGATGTCAGAAACATGGTGGAGTGAGAGATGTTCCCCAGATCTCTCCCCTTGAAACAACAATAAGCTGAACATCTAAAACTTAACAACAACAAAAATACCCAGAGTGCACGCCAGCACGTCTGAGTGTGGGATCTGAGCATAAGAGCTACCATAGGTCAGAACCCCTGGTGTTGGGTGGTGGACTGGGAGAAACAAAGAAGCTCTCTGCAGCCGGAGCTCCTTGCGGGAGGAGGGGGAGGGGAGAAGGTGTGGTGACTTCCCTGAACAACCCTGCCTGGGAGAGTAGTGAGCTCCACACAGCAGCAGGGCCCAGAGATCAGGGCAGAAAGCAGAAAAGCGGGGACGGCAGAGAAACAACAGTTGATTTTTACCAGCCACGGCTGCAAAATGGGAGGCTGAGCCGCAGTCTCTATCCCCCAACTCAGAAGGCCCCTCTCCCCATTCCCTCCCAGATCGAAAACCGGGGAGCCCCAGGGGAATCTGAGCAAACGCCACCAAAACTGTCGCTGAAACTGTTGCTAACACTGACAGGAACTGAGACTGAGGGTAGTGAGCATGACTGAATATAAGAAAAAAAAGGTATTAAGACTTTATATAAAGCAGTGATCCAAGAGGCTTTGATGCCACCTACTGGAAACTAAAAGAAAAATTCTTTCTTTGCAACAGGCTAAAGAGAGACCTTTATATAATAAATCTTTCTGGGAAAAAAAAGCAGAATATACTTCCATTAATGCCCAGGTAGAGGAATAGTCCATTAAACACCATGAACAACCAAGGTGACAAGGCAGCTCAGAAAGAAAAAAAATATCTCCAGAAAATAAGCTTACAGACATAGAAATATGCGACCTAAATGACAGAGAATTCAGGATGGTACTTCTGAAAAAACTCAATGAGGTCCAAAATGACTCATGTCAACAATTTCAGGAATTGAAAAAACTACTAGATGAGCGGTATGAGTTCTTTAGCAAGGAAATTGACCCTCAAAAAGAATCAAATAGAACTTCTGGAGATGAAGAACATACTGCAAGAGATGAAAATGAAAAGGTAAGCTTAGGAAATAGAATCGACCAAGTGGAGGAAAGGATTAGTGATATTGAGGACAGAAATCTAGAAATAAATCCGAAGGAAGAAGAGAGAAACCGAAGAATGAAAAATGATGAAAGAGAAATACAAAAACTAGCTGATACCACCAAGAGAGGAAACATAAGAATAATGGGCATTCTCAAAGGGGAGGAAAAGGAGCAGGGATTAGAAAGCATTTTCAGACAAATAGTTGATGAGAATTTCCCAAATCTAAGGAATGAGCTGGAACTTGGAATTCAAGAAGTTAACAGAACACCCAATTATCTCAACGCAGAAAGGCCTTCTCCAAGACACATTATATTAAAATTATTAAAAATCAATGACAAATAAAGAATTCTCAGGGCAGCCAGGGAAAAGAAGACGGTAACCTATAAAGGAAAACCCATTAGACTATCGTCGGACTTCTCAGTACAAACCTTACAAGCCAGAAAGGAGTGGAATCAAATTTTCAAACTATTAAATGAAAGGAAATACCAGCCAAGAATAATGTATTCAGCAAAGCTCCACTTTAAATATGATGAAGAAATAAAGACCTTTCCAGACATACATTTTCACAAGTGTAAATCTATCAAACTAAATGCGTTTCTACTTCCATAACTTGTAACACAGCATAGCTGATTTCCCTTCAGGTGTATTGAATTAATGTTTTCTCAGCTTCTTCAAAAAATATTCTCTCCTATTTCATGCAGCCTATTCAAAGAGGCTTCAAACACTTCAGTCACTTCAAACGTTCACTCCTTGAATAAACAGGAACAAATGAACAGTATCCTGGCACCTGTCAACTTATTAAGAGCCAAGGAAAACCACTCAAAATAATTTGCCTTCGCTAAATAATTTAAATTGACTATTGATGTTGTTCCTAGTGGTCTCAACACTTTAAGCAGCTGTTCTTACCCAAAGACTAATGGTCTTAAACAGATTTATTTTTTCTGGATACATTTTTTTAGCTGCTGTAATCAATCAATGTTAAATTTCTTGCATGGCTAGCAAATGAGCCACTTGGACATGTATTTTGGTTTCAGTCTCATTTCCTTCATTTTTTCTTTTTTTGTGAAGAAATTCTACTATGATAAGATATAGTTTTTAATTTTTGTAATTTTTCTGAATGTGATTTGGTAATGTGATGAGTTCTTGGTCTGGTAATGTTGACATATATTGTATTCTTATAGCACAGAAACAGGTTCATTGCATAATAAACATAATGCTTTGCCATCTAAAAAAAAAATCTGGCAAAAAGTGAACTGTTCCTTGTGCCTGGGGCAATGGTGATCCTGATCCTCAATTCCATTCCTGTCTTAATATCTGGATTCCCTGCCATAATATCTTTTGCCATCGATAGCTAGTATGAAGTACTGTCTTGGAGCCTGTTGTACATTTAAGAATAAGCTTGTTTTTTAAAAAAATTGCTTTTCTCCCTTCTTCTAAAATAGGTATACACTGTGAAAAAGTCAAATATTGCAGAGACCTAGAGTCTGTAACAGAGAAAGTAAAATTTCTTCAAGCTCAGTCTGAAATAACCACTATGGAGAGTTTGGTACACTTCCCATTGCCCTCCCCATCCCCAGCCGTGCCCTGCTCTCCCACCACCTGCTCCAACTGCAAGGAGCTAGTCATCCCCGGCAAGAGATTATTTGAATAGATTTTCCTCTATAAGAATGGAATGATGTTTCAGATCGAATAAGCCACCAAGCAGCACTCAAAGATACACTGACAGACCCCTAGAATTCTCTTGACATTCCTCAGGATGCCACCTTTGAAGAGCAATACCCCACTGGGAGCCTTACAAGCACATCACCATCCAGGTATGGTCCACAGAAAGCCCGCTTGATTGTATGAAGCATGAATTGCTATTTATACAGTCAAGGATTGTTATCCTGTCCAGAAAAACTTCATCAAAAATTAGTGTGATGTTGCCCACCTGTTTATTTGACATACAACAGGACGTTAACGACCTGTCCATGTTTGCTCCACTGAGCATGTGCCAGACTGTCCAGCAGAGAAGGTGCTTGAGGACTGTTCCTGGTGAACCTGTAAGCCCAGAAGTGACAGAACATCAGAAGCCAGGGGCCCCTGATGAAAATGGATGTGAGATTTGAGGAGATGAGACTCTTCATTGAGACTCTTCTTAAAATATAATTTTAGGAAGATAAACATTGTTGTGACTTTTTTGTATGTATATATTTCTGACTACTCAAGCTATGTTTACAATTGGCAATTGAATGAGGACTATATGATAGTATGAGCTGAGGAGATGGCTAATATAGATACCTCAGATATTTCTAAGTCTATTTGGTTCTGTTCTTTACGTGTATATAGTTATATACTAAGTGCCCTAGCATATAAAGAGGTGAGGGGTCTGTAAGAGCAGTTTGCCATGGCAGGAGGCATATTTTATTACTGGTATTGTTAAGAATTGATGTGATAATAAAAAAGCAGATGATTTTGGCCAATTTACAAACAGTGAACCCTTTATGGCCTGTGCAGCTATTGGGCTGCTCTCACTGCCTCTCTCCCACCACTGACAAAATGACCCCTTAAAATCCCTTTCAGATTTAAGAGCTCTAGGGCATGACCTAATTGTTATAAAAATTTTAGCTTAAATGGAAGTCTATACTATGAGTGATTATTCCTCTAAAGCAATATTTTAAGCAGCAGATATTGGAAAACCCTAATATCTACACTTGGGTAAACATGAGCTATGTATGCTTCCTTTTTTCTATGCCAGAGTTTTGATACATATGCTGAATTATCACATACTGTTCTACAGACCTAGAGAGACAGGTAGTATTTGAATAACAGCACTGAACTGGGGGACAGGAGACTATTGTCTCCTAAATTTAGGACTAGATTCCCTTGTACTCAGCTCCTTTGGTTAACTAAACGCACTATGCTTTCCCCACTTTGGCCTTTCTGGGACAGTGTACCATGACCTCCTGGTCTTTCCGATTTCTGTTCACCCCTCCAAGGTCAGCTCACACATGACTTTCTCTGGGAATTGCTTACAAGCCTGGATTAGGTGCACACTGCACTTTGAACATGCACTATCATCCCCTGGCCTGTCCGCAAGCCTCGGTTTTCCTTCTTTGAAGAATGCGGGTGGGCGAGCCTAGAGCCCTACACCACATGCCCGACTCTGGACAAAACCCTGTCACACATTGGGCGCTGTCATTATCCTCTCTACAGACCAGCAAACTCAGAAGTGAGCCCAGGATCTCCCTAGCAACCCCCGAGTCCCAGCGGCAGAGGTGAAAGACTGCCCTCTTGAGGCAGCTGGAGAATTTGTGGGGTTTCTTGGTAGTTACAAGGGAGGCGGAGCAGGGCAGCCGCACACAGAATAGTCCCACGTCCTGCGTGACGTTTGACTGTCCTGCTGGGCATTCAAGAAGCTAAAAACTTATTTACAATGACCTGAGACTAGAATCTATCCTATCCCATGTCATGATAAAGGGAATTATTTTGCTGCCGCAATGAGTGATAAAACACCCTCCTTTGCAAGAACACCGTGTTTACTAATTTTCTTCACCTAAATTTGTCTTGGTGCGTTATATTTGTATAAATTAAAGATATTTTCCTCTTCCTCTTAACATCTGGTCTGTTATTACCCCAACTTTGTTTTTATTCAAGTGTCCTCTTGTCTTCACTTTCATTTCCTGAGTGTTAAAGAACACGCAAATCACCCAAATCTGGAAAACAAAAGCTAAATTTAATTCTAGCTCAGGCCAGGGAGAAATGCAAGCAGAAAACAGAGGCACAGAGAGGTAAAGTGACTTGTCTGGGGTCACACAGGAAGTAGTGGATCAGGGGTCTGAGATCTGGCTCCGGAATCTGTACTTTTAACCACTCCGCAAGCCTCCCTCTCAAGTTAGGAAAATTACCCAGGGACCCCCAGCTCAGGATATTAAGGGGGCTTTCCAAGATGTTTCCTATAAAAACTGACCTAGTACATAGAATGTTGATATCCTTTCCCACGTTCTTCACTTCATATTCTGCCACCACAGTCCTGAATCTGAGCTAGAGTTGGGGTGGAAGTGAAGGTCAGCTGTGTGGCTATGATACCAAGCCCAAAAGGGGCATATGGCAGAGGGCAGGAGATGGACAGGAAGGAGCCGGCCAGGTGAGGCCCTCAGGATCCTGCTGGCTGAGATCCCAAGGCCTGTTTATGCGCAGACCTTGCCTCTCTCCTCCTCCTCCTCCTCCTCCTCCTCCATTAGGGGCGGGGATCTCCTCTGTGGAAAATACCCAGCTGGGCGAGCCCCAGAGACAGGGAGGAGGCGAAGGGGCCTGGGACTCACAAGACTAACTCTTTTCCCCTCGCGTGACTGGTGTTTGCTGCGCTGGGTTCTGGGAAACAGCCAGATTGCATCAGACAGGGCCTGAGGGGCTGAAGCCAGACTGCAGGCTGAGGAGGAGCCTGGCCTTATAAGTTGAATCCGGTGAACTGTCAGGTGTCAGGAAACCTAGAACAGACACAGCTTTGAAAGGAGAGAGAGAGACAGTGAGAGTAAGTCAGACATGATGGCTACCCTGCCCAGAGCAGCCAGCCCATCCCGGCAGTGCCCAGGCCCAGAGGACGAAGAGCCCAGCCTGGATGAGTACGACCTCTACAGCCTGGCTCATTCTTACCTGGGTAAGGCCTGGCCCTGCCACCTTCCTGATTCTTCCAATTTTGACCCCCAGCCCTGACAAACAGTCTGAACCAAACCCCCAAATCAGGACCCCTCTCCTAGGACTTCTCCCCACCCGTCACCCTTTTCCAACCTGTTCCCCTGACCCCTCATCCACTGGGCACTGCCCTACTCAGCCCTGGGGCCTCACACATGCCTATAAAATCGGAGCAAAGACAGATCACCTCAAGGCCCTCATTCCATTCCTCCGACAGGAAAATAGAGACTATGACTGCCCTAAAGAAAGCTATGTGGTGACAACCCCATAACTTCTCTACTCCAACCAAGCTCCTTCCACCACCGCACTCCCAATTCCCTGCCTCTCCTTCGAGGCTTCTGATCACGCCTCCAGCCACCTCGCCTTAGGCTCTTGCCTCTGTTTCCAGGAGCGGGAGGCCGGAAAGGTCGCACCAAGAGAGAAGCTGCTGCCAACACCAACCGCCCCAGCCCAGGTGGGCATGAGAGGAAGCTGGTGACCAAGCTCCAGAATACAGAGCGGAAAAAGCAAAGGGCACGGCCGTGACACAGAGCTGTAGGTAAGGAGTCAGGTGCTCCGACCACCAGCGGCTGTCCCTCTGCCTCCAAAGGACAGGGCTGAATGTGTGTGGTTGTGTAGGGAGGAGGGATCGAAGAACTGTCTCCTCAACATGGAATACATTTGAGTCTGAGTTTCCTAGTGACCAGAGTGAAGGGGGAAAGGTAGACCCTTTCTTATTGGAGGGAAACCTGGTTTACGAAGAAGGAAACTGAGGCCCAGAGAGGGCGGAGTCTTTCTCTAGAGTCACAGAACAAGTGAGTAGGAGAAGCAGAATTAGAACCCAGGCCTCTGTCCCTCTCACCACCTCCTTTCCTTCCCCAGATGGGGACAGAGCATGGACACTACACAGGAATGGAGGCAGGACCACGGAGGAATCAGTACCTGGGGGCAAGATCCAGGCCTGCTTGCTCCCACCCCAACCCCAGGACTTACCCCACCTGACTGAGGCTCTGACAGGCCACCAAGGAAGCAGCCTCAGCCCCAGAAAAAGGCCAGGATAGGGAGTCAGAGGCAGGAAGTAGAGATGCAGTCACAAAGGTCCCCTCCAAAAGAAAGACACTGAAGAACCCAGAACCCCCTGAGATGACAGCAACAATAAACAAAGTACAGCAACCGCAGCTTGTTTTTGTCCTCTCATTGCGTGTTTTTATTTGCATACAGTTCTGCATGTGTCTGCATGTGCATGAAGCAATGAATATCTTTTGTTAGTGTTTGTATTTGGTTATGTATCTGAGAGGCAGTGTTTCTGATTTTGTAGGGGCATGTAGAGGTGAGTGTGTATGAGTGTGTGTGTGTGTGTGTGTGTGTGTGTGTGTGTGTTTATTTTGTTTTGGTATGCATAGGTTTTTATGGTCCCTTATGAGGTACAAGAGAGTCCCTCCGCTTCTTTTTAATGCTGCCCATGAAACAAGCCCCCTCCCCAGATCCTCCATATTTTCAGAATAACAATCTTGTTAATTATATTGTATTCATATAAAACCACCTTTTGAAATGAATGTTGTTTATTGGTGTCATCTGCAAAATGGAGAAAACCAAGACTTAAAAAATGAAGGGACTTACCCCAAGTTCTTCAGGACTCAAATTCAAGGATCCTTACCATCCTGGAGTGTGAAGTAGGTCCCTTTGCCCAGGGGGCTGCCAGGACAGGGTTCTGGGAGGTCAGCTTGGGGAGAAAGATCCTTATCTGGTATTATTGGTCTCAGAACCAATGTTTGAGAACATCATGGAGGCAAATAAGAGGTATGATTGGAGCCAAGAGGATATATTGATAGAGAGACAAGTTTGGGCAGCTGTAATGAAGACTCAAAACAGGATAGAAAGTTATCTGTCTATCACATAATAGCTCCAAGGGCAAGTCCTCCTGGACTAAAGTGGCAACTCCACTGTGTCAGGGACTCCAGCTGCTTTTAGCTCATGGTTCTGCCACCCTGAGAACATGGCTTCCAATCTGAGGTCCAAGGCAGCTGCTTCATTACCTGCCATCACGTCCGCATTTCAGCCTGTGGAAAGAGAGTGGGAAAGGACCAGGGGAAGACATGCGGATTCATTTTTAAGGCCAGAACCTAAAAGTAGAACACATTACATTTGCTCAGAATTTAATTACATGGCCACACTCAACTGCAAGGGAGGTTCAGAAAATGTAGTATTTAGCTAGTTAGCCGTGTATTAGCCAAACTTGGGAAGAGCAGGGCTGTATTATTAAAGGAAACAGGAAAGAGAAAAGTGGATGAAACTAGCAAGAAACATTTTCCACAGACAGATTAAACATAAGTAGGGAGAGAAAACCCCTAGATGTGGCCCTGGGCAGAGACTTTTTCCTCTCCTGTCCATTTTACGTAAGCCATAGGCTACAGAATTTGGACCCTATGGTTTGTAGAGACTCAAGAATATGGACAGAGGAATGAGGCACCTGTTAGACCAGTTAACAGATGCACAGTCTACTAAGACGGGCTTAAACCTTTGGAACCTCTATCCATCGGACTCCCCTGAGTCCAGCCAGGGCCTTCCCTGTCCAAGATCTCTGACTGGGAAAGACATTAAAAGGCATCAGCCCAACTCCTACTGGAGTCACTCACTCCTACTGGAGTCACCCTTGCTTGCTTAAATACCGCTGGGACAGCAATCTTGCTACCTTGGAGATTCCTTCTCAGAGGAACACGTTCATGTGGACTGAGACCTGGTTCTCCCACCTGCCTCGCCTCGGAACGAGCTTCCGGTTTTTTCTGTCTGAGATGCCTTTAATCCCACCCATCCCTCAGAGTTCAGCTCAAAATCTTCCTCTTCAAAGTCTTCCCTGCCCCGCCCTCCACCACCTGACTCCTCGCCCCCACTTCGCATTCTCTGGGTTGCACACATAGCAAGTCTGTGTCCAGAATCTCAGTCATTTGGCGTATAGCTCCTTCAGATTTCCTCTGAACCCCTCTTTCCACAACGATTTCATTCATTCATTCAATTAATGTTTATTGGATGCCTGCTATATTACCAGGGCTTGGTTGAAGGCATGCACTGCACAGAGGGACAATTGGGACCCTGGTATCATTGGAACCAGATCTTAAGACCACTTGTCAGCTCTTGAACTCAGGAAGGAAATGGCAGAAGCAGCACAGGACAGTGAGCTCTAGCCCAGCACAGATCTGGTATGTCAGCTTCAAAAAAAATCAGCAACAGCTTCCATGTATTGGGCATTTTTTAGGCATTGTTTCATTTAAACCTTACAGTAACCCAAAAGGCATACTATTATTGATCCCATTTTATAGACCAGAAAACCGAGGTTCAGAGAAGTTAAGTAACTTACTCACACACAGCCAAAATCTGCAGGAGCTGGGATTTTGAACTCAGGTCTGTCTGATTTTCTAATCCTGGGCTTTTCCCTTTTCACTACATGCCTGAGAAGAACCACATATACTGACAATGAGGAATCCTAGACTTGCCAAAAAGCCCCACACACTACCCCTCAGTCCTGGCCTCTGATTGGCCTTCCCTGGCCTTGTCCTTTCTGGGCACAGCCTATGCCCAGGAGGCTTTTAAGTAGATGTTCCTGGAACCAGATGATTCTTGGAATTATAGAACATTTGATCTAAAAGGATCCTAGGGGTTAGAGTTCCACTCTCTTAAGGCCTGGGGATAGGGGTCAGGGCTCAAGGACTGGCTTAAACTCGCATGAGGCCTAGGGACTCTCCAGAGCCTCCCCGCTCTGGTCCACCTCCTTTTTCTACGCCCTTTCTTTTTCATCTTCTGTTTACATGTAATACCTGTTTCCCCAATTTCTTGGGTTCCTCCTGAGAGCTAGAGAAATGACCGACTTCTCTGCCTCCTCAAGGCGTTACGGAAATCTCCCTGTCAGGTTGCTGCAATTAATTCAAAGGATTTGCAGCTCCTTGCAGTGAACCAGGAAACTTACCAAGGGCTATTTGCTTCACAAACATGCTGGTCCTTTTCTGCCCACTTCTTTCTCAAAACGGTTCTCAGATGTGTATTTTTAACTTATCAGAATGACCCAAAGTTAACTTTCAACTAGCAATCCTTAAAGGTAATTCTATTCATAGTAACACAGCTACCATTAGGTGATCTGCCTCAGGTGTTCCCAGGCTCATCTTTCACACAGCACTTTTGTGATCGCCCTATGTGCATTCGAGCTATACCATTATTTACTAAGAATTTTTTAAATTACCTTTACCTCCTTACCTCTTTTGCTCAAATGTATTTAAAAAGGAAATTACATAACCACCAAAAATGGAAGCCAACAATCACTTGTCCTACTTAGAAGATAGCTGTAAAAAGAAACACAGAACTACAACTTTTTACATCCACCTGTGCACTACCTAGTACGACCTTGTGCATGAAGAATCACAGGTGTTCACACTTGGAGAGACACTAGTTCTTCACAAGCCAGATTCTCTGCCAGGTGCTTTGAAAACATGGAAGAAGGCTTCACTGTAATCACCTGGGAGTTAAAGAAAATACTGATGCCTTGCTCCCACTCCCAGAAATGCTGATTTCATTGGTCTGGAGTAGAGCTTGGGCATTAGGACTTAGAAAAGTGACTCTAATGTGCCATGAAGTTTGAGAACAACAGATGCAGTTGGCTTTTGCCTCAGATTACATTTACCAAAGATGGTCATAGCAAGAGTTCCCATCCACATGCTCTCCTTAGAGTGTGGCCTTGACACCCTGCGAATGAGGGCACGGAACCGCGTTCCTTCCTTCTGAACATGGTGGACCTTTACGGCTGCCTTGACTGATAGAGTACAGCAGAAGTGGTGCTGTCAGAAAATGCCATGCACCTCCACTTTTCTCCCTGGGGTTCTTGGAACTCGGCCACCCCACTGTGCGGAAGTCCAAGACAGCACACGTGGAGAGCCAGCACTGAAAGGCCACATGTTGGCATTTTGACCTTCAGCCCAGCTGGAGTACCAGCTGAAAGCCGTCCTCAGCCTCCAGACATGTGAGTGAAGGGAGACTGCAAATGGTTCCGGCCCCACCTGTCAAGTCACTTCCAGCAACTGAGTCTTCCCAGATGAGGCCTGAGATATTGTGCAGCAGAGACAAGCCATGTCCAACTTCCAACCCACAGAATCTGGGAGCAAAACAAATTGGTTGTTTCACAGCACTGCATTTGGGGGTGGTTTATTATGCAGCAATAGAGGGTGAAACAGCCTCAGAGTCCCCAAGATCTATGTCCAGGTCCTGTCCACAAACTCCGCTATGATCTGGGACAAGTTATTGTTTACCCTGCATCTTCATTTCCATTATCTGTAAACAGGAGATGAAGAGCACACCCATCTCCTGGAAAGGATTTGAGAACGCAAGGAAATTGTGTTTTTCACTTAGCAGAGTACTCAACCCAGAAGAAGGACTCAATGAGGCAACAGAGTAGTGACTAATAGCATGGGCTCTAGACCCAGATTCTGTGGGTTCAAGTTCCAGCTATCCTACTGTGTGACCTTGGGCTTGTTAGTTACCTGACCTCATTATTATCACACTGAATATTTACCAAAGCCCTGTGGGAGAGAAAAGACCTGTGTCACCACTGGTCATAGGCTGAGCCAAGAGGAGACCAGGTGTGCTGACACCCATGCCCAAACTTTCCAGAAAGCTCTGTGGCCTTCAGGGAGTGCCAGAAGGGAGCAAGCAAAGAACAAGAGCGCCCTAGTCCCTGAGTTCCTGTGCAAGAAGTTTCAACAGAGACCTTTCCCGACTGCTAGACCAAGAACCCAGGTCTCTGTCAATCAGAATCACTTCATTTTCTTTGTAAAACAAGATTTTCTTTCTTTCTCTGATTGCAGAAGCAGTTAATGCTGTGGAATCAGAAGGTAACGCCAACCTCAAGTTCAACCCTCCTGACCGAACACGCCCTCGTTCCAACTTTCGCAAAAGTTATAAAATTAATTTGTAATCACTTCATGGAATGCTGACACCAACTCTGTGCAGCCTTATCCTGTCTCCCTTTTCTGAAGAACCGGTTTGGAGAGTTTTGTTTTGTTTTGTTTTAACTGTTGGAGAAAATAATCATTTATTCATTCAGCAAATTTTCATTAGCCAGGGAATATTCTAGAAGCTATGTGTACAGTAGTAAACTAGTTCTTTCTTCATGAGCTTATGTTCTAGTGG